CTGGTTGGCCCGGCGCCTCCGGAGGTAGTGGCCGTGGTGGCGGCCCGCGCAGCTTAGCGTCTACCGGCGGCTCCGGTGCTGTCACCTGCCAGTACCAGCTTCAGACCGGGCCTCTTCGCGGCACTCTGTGCCGCCGCCCGCACACGACCGCCCCCTGTTTCTGCCGCCTCGACGATCTCTTTCGTCGTCGCTTTGGCCCGGCCCCGGACCTCCCCGACTGGCACAGCCTGCTCCGCCAGGGCGTGCCGATCTTTGAGTTAGACATGGATCAGATAGGTGCTGCTTTGCATGCTTTGTATTCTGACGCTTCTAGTTTTGCTGGATCTTATTACCCTGTGTACTCTAGTTTAGGTGTTGCACCACTGTCTAGCTTAGCCTCCCTTGCTGCGTCAAGCGTAGGACTGCCTAGGTTGCCTAGTCTAGTCGCTGCACCGGCTCCGTCCCCGGCCTCCGCCACTGCGTCGCTGTCCTTCACTCTCGACTCCGGTGCTTCTGCCTGCTTCTTCCGCGACCGTTCCACGCTCACGCTGCTTGCTGCACCTGCTGTTGTCTCTCTCGCTGACCCCTCTGCGGGTCCTATCGTCGCGCGCAGTTCTATGTCCCTTCCCTGTCCAGCAGTTCCCTCGGGCTCCCTTACTGGCCTCCACATTCCCTCGTTCTCCAGGAACCTGGTTGGTGTCAGCTGTCTCCAGGACCTCGGCGTCACCACCACGTTCCCCGGGCACGAGCGGTTCGCTGTCTGTTCTGAGGCTGTGTCAGGTTCCCCCCTTGCGACGTTCCCCCGGGACCCGGTGTCCGGTCTGTTTAACCTCGACACCGCTTCCCCCCCGGTTGGTGCGTCCTCCCAGGTCGCTGCAGCTTGCTCGTGTCGGTCCCTCTCTCACCCGTCCCTTCTCTGGCACCACCGCTTAGGTCACCCTGCTCTCCCGCGTCTGCGTCACATGTCCCAGCACGGTCTTGTCTTAGGTTTCCCCGCGTCACTCCTTGCACTTCCTCCCTCGACTGCGCCACTGTGCACGCCTTGCGTCGAGGGTCAACTCCGCCGTGCTCCTCACTCCTCCTCGCTGCGCCCTGCTACTGCCCCCCTTCAGACCCTGCACCTGGACGTTTGGGGCCCTGCCCCCGCCCCCGGACCGCGCGGTGAGCGCTACTTCCTTGTGCTCGTCGACGACTACACGCGCTACACCACGGTGTTTCCCCTGGAGCGGAAGGCCGACGTGCCCAACGTTCTTCTCCCGTGGGTTGTGGCTGCGTGTCTCCACCGCGGTCTCCCCGTGTTGTGTCTCCACTCCGACCGTGGCGGCAAGTTCGTCTCTGGTCGGCTTGGACAGTTCTGTCGTGCGGAGGGCATCACCCAGTCGTACACCTTGCCGGACTCGCCACAGCAGAATGGGGTTGCTGAGCGCCGCATCGGCTTGGTCATGGAGGTCGCCCGTACTTCCATGATCCATGCCGATGCCCCCCATTTTCTGTGGCCGTTCGCTGTTCGCTACGCTGCTCACCAGCTTAACCTGTGGCCACGCTCCCAGCGGCCGCAGGTTTCGCCGACCCTCCTTTGGACCGGGTTCCCCGGTGACGCGTCTGCGTTCCACGTCTGGGGCTGCCTTGCTCACGTTCGTGCCTCCGGCACGGACAAGCTCACTGCCCGCACTGTCCCCTGTGTCTTCCTCGGTTTCCCCCTGGACTCGTCTGACTGGCTTTTCTACCACCCGCCGTCTCACCGCTTCCTCCACTCTCGTGACGTCACCTTTGACGAGTCCGTCTCCTTCTACCGCCGCTTCCCTCACCGGGGTCTCCCAGTTGCCCCCCCCTTGTTCCTTCCTCCCTCTCCCCAGGTAGCCCCTGCCCCTCTCCCGCCTCGTCCTGCCCCGTCTGGTGTCTCTCACGTCACTCCCCTCCCGTCGGTTGTCCCCGTTGAGGAGTCTGCTGACTCTGGTGGTACCCCCGGTCTGTCCTTGCCACGTCCCCCTTCCCTGGTGCCTCCGCCCCCCCTGTCGCAGTCGCCGACCCCGCTGCAGCCGCCGCCGCCGCAGCCGTCGCCGCCGCAGTCGTCGCCGCCACTGCCGCCGCCGCTCTTGGCCCCTTGGGGTGCTGGTGTGGAGGAGGGTGTTCGTCCTGCGGCTTCTGGGGGTGCCGCTGGTGTTGGCGGGGGTTCTCGCTCTGGGGGTGTTGGTTCTGGGGGTGCTGCTGTTGAGTGTTCTGCCAAGCTTATGAACTTTAAATGGTCATAGCTTTCTTGTTCTTGCTCCGATCAAAGCTATCCTTGATCCGTCGGAAATATCTTCTCAAGAGATTTCATCACAAATATCTGGAAAAAAAAACTCAAAACCTTCCACAAACTCCAGAACACACCACACAGACACTCTTGTACACCTTCAAATCATACATGCAAATTGAAAGCATGGGATGGGCAGAATGTGATAGCTTATGCTGACATCACACAACATACAATGGCATCAATCTCAGGTCCAATTTGAGGAAGATTCTAGATGGGAATAGAACCAAATGGTGCCACATGATGAAGGATGAGTATAAGATAATCCACCGCATCTGTGTCACATGTCAAAGCTACTAACGTGGAACAACTGCTTCCAGTCTATATGGACCAACCTGAGAAGGTCCACATTAATCCCTACGTATCAGTTATGACTAAGGTAGCCTTACATTCATCTCACCCATGCATGATTTCCTTTTTTTTTTTAAGTTGACTAGATCGTCTTAGGGTTGCGGAGATATCTTTTTTTGTTGTTGCAATTTTAGGCATGTAATTTTGCATTTTAAATCAAGATTATGAGCATTACCATTTGATGCGATGCTATTTTACAGTTGTGAATGAAGTGTTAGTATATTTCATTTGTATACATTGTTTTAACAGTGCATCTCATTTATTTTTTTCCAGGTTTGACACAGCCAACTCTAAAATTGAGGGGTGTTAAAACGTGCTTCCGAGAAATGACGGTTCGTTCGCAAACTGGCACGAAGTTGACACCTGTCTTCTCCTCTTACCACGAAGTTGACACCTGCCTTCTCCTCTTACCACGAAGTTGACATCTGTCCTCTCCTCTTACCACGAAGTTGACACCTGTCTTCTCCTCTTACCACGAAGTTGACACCTGTCTTCTCCTCTTACCACGAAGTTGACACCTGTCCTCTCCTCTTACCACGAAGTTGACACGTGTGCAGCACTGAGTCCGCCATCATGGTCGATGTAGCAGCACAAAGGCGGTAGTGGTGCTGTACTGAGCGACAGAGTGCGGCGGGAAGCAGTGGTGTGTGGTGTGGTGCAGTGCGGTAGACTGCGGTAGAGTGAGGTGCAGTACAATAGGGTGTAGTGCGGTGCAGGGCGATGGAGTGCGGTGGAAAGGGGCCGATGAAGCTAGGTGGGGTAGGTCGCGGGGCGGCTGGAAGACAGGGCCGCGTAGCGGCTGGAACACGGGGTTGCGTAGCGGCGGGGATACGGGGCCGTGGGCGGCGAGGCAACGGGGCCGGCTAGGCGGCTAAGTGACGGGGCCAGCTAGGCGGCAGGGCCAGCTGGGCGACGAAGCCGGCTAGGCGACGGGGCCGGCTGGGTGGCGGGGCCAGTTAGGCGACGGGGCTGGCAGGGCGACGGGGCCGGCGAGGCGACGGGGCCGAGTAGGCGACGGGGCCGGCTGGGCGACGGGGCCGACTAGGCAACGGGGCCAGCAGGGCGACAGGGCCGGCTAGGCGACGGGGCCGGCTAGGCGACGGGGCCGGCTTAGGCGACGGGGCCGGCTGGGCTACGGAGCCGTCTAGGCGACGGGGCCGGCTAGGCGGCGAGGCCGACTGGACTACGGGGCCGGCTGGGCGACAGGGCCTGCTAGGCGATGGGGCCAGCTAGGCGACGGGGCTGGCTGGGCTACGGGGCCGACTAGGCGACGGGGCCGGCTAGGAGACGGGCCAGCTAGGTGCTAGGTGACAAGGGGGCAACTAGGGGACGGGCCAGCACGGGCGGGAGGGCGATGGGGCGGCTAGGACCTATGGCGGAAGCGCCGGTGGGCGGGGGGGACCTAACCTACTCATGATACCATGTCAAAGTTAACAAATGACTAGAACAATGACATACAAGGGAATATAACCTAGTGAGTTGTACTCCCTAAGGCATTGTATAGTCTATAACAACATACAAAGATATGTTTGACACCAGGGCCGCAGATTCGTTTAGAGGCACCCTGATAGCTCAGGGTCCCCCCACCGTGGTCTCCTGATTTTGCAGGCCTCTCCAAAAAAAAATCCCTGGTCCACTAGGGTCCCTAGAAATTTTCACGCTAAGTAAACATGATTATAGACAGAAAGCACACTGTGTAATATATGCCTAGTATTATGCGGTAGCATGGTTCTCAATGGCAGCAGGCGCAGAGGGACCAAGGCTAGGATTGGGCTCTGAAAGTACGACCGCGTCGGAAACTAAAATGGACGGTCGCATTCAAGCCGGCGGGATTGACAAGGGGCGGTTGGGGAAACTCATGGGAATCACGGGTGGAGGGGTGGGGCTGCGAATCTGCTATTACACGAATCTGGACAAACATGGATCACTACACTAGTAGCGCTGATCAATCAGAGTTCACTCCTAAAAAAACGCTGAAATTTCAGGCCTGTGTCTTTAAAAAAGCCCTGATTTTACCCTGAATCAGGGTAAGAATCCTGAAATCTGAGGCCCTGTTTGACACCCTGAACCAACAGCCCCTCAAAATCCAATATACAAAGCCCTGCTCTATTGCATTACTCAACTCCCATCTAAATTTCTTCACAACATATGTAAGGCCTGGAACCGACCCGACCCGAGGTCCGGAACTGACCTGAGGGTTCACAAGTGCACGCAATAAGCAGTATAGCTCAGTAAGGAATTAAAACTCCTTAGAGACTTACTAAGCTACACTTACTAGCATTAAGTGCAGCAAAGTTACAGTCCGAAAGTCAGGGAGGGTCGGCGGAGGACTAGTAGAATTCAGGATTGAGGGTCCACTTCTACATGTTGTCGGACCAGTAAAAATCCTAGTCCCCATAAACCTAAATTTTCTCACCACCACTCGCCGCTGTTCACGCGTCGCCCCCGGCCCCCGCCGCTGTGTCGTGGCCATGGAGGTGATCGACGACAAGGACGCCATGCGGCAGTGGTCGCGCAAGCAGCACCACGAGGGGCGCACGGTGGCGCTGGTGCCGACCATGGGGTATCTGCACGAGGGCCATCTGTCGCTGGTGCGCCTGGCGGCGACGCTGGCGGACGTGGTGGCGGTGTCCGTGTACGTCAATCCCTCGCAGTTCGCGCCGCACGAGGACCTCCTCTCCTACCCGCGCGACCTCCCCCGCGACCTCGCGCTCCTCAAGGCACGCCCCGCACAACCCCGCCCCCCGCCCGCGTCCCCTTCCCAGTCCCCTGCCGCATGCTCTCGGTGCCTCCTCTTTTACGCCAGCCACATTGCTTAGCTGGGGATTGCTGGTGGGGGAGTGGAAAGGAAAAGAGAGCAGTTTGGGTTGACATTTGACGAAGCATTTGGACTATGCGGTCGGGGTTTGCCGTGCGTCGCTGCACTAATCAGACGAGGCCATCCGACATGGCGCCCACGTGCCATAGCCAACACCAAACACACTTGAACTGCCAGGTCAGCAGTTTTGGCGCAGTAGAAGGGCGACCTGAAAGTGGAGAGGAGGTACGGAGTACTTAGACGGACGCATCCAGGCTTCAGGGTTTAGAGCATGCATGAGCTCGTGTATTCTCAACATCCACCCACCCACCCACCCACCACCCACCCACCCTCACCCCCCCGTCCCCCTCTCTCCCTCTCGCTCTCTTTCTCTCCCTGTATCACTTCCTCTGGACCTTGAGTAAGGATTGCAAGGCTACTGCGCCAGATGCTATGGCATGGGCCGTGCAAGCCAAGTGTGCCAAGGACGGTGGGCTGTGAGCTCCGAGTGAGCGATTGGCTTCACCCCGCAGCCGCAGTGTGTGGCACGGCATGCTGGGTGTGGAGTGTGCGTGCGCAGTGCAGGGTGCAGGCTGCAGCTTGGCCCGGGACGTGGATGGTCAGCATGCCATGGCCCTTATGGTTGCAGTGCCACCCTTGTTGAAGCGATGCCATGCCAGGACGCGAGAGTGTAAGCTGGCTCTTGGCGAGAATTGGGGTGAACGGAATGGCAAGAAGCGACCGTAGGCACGCCAGTTGCTTTCTGTGCGACCAGGTACAGCAACTGCGAGCTGGGTTCCTTAGCGCGCAGTGGAGGAGGTGGATTCAGGGCGTTGGGTTTAGGAGTTGGGTGCCGGTCATGCCCACCTCGCGGCGTGCAGGGAAGGGCTTGGGGGACAGCACAGCACGCCACTGAAGCGCTGTGTGGTGGACGCCAAGGACGCGAGGTTGGGCTCTGCACGTGTGCTGCTGGTTCTTGAGAGCTTTCTAGCGTGAGCTGCATCAACTTGGGCTCTCCCCGTGCCCACTAAGCTGCCAGCCTGTGTGAGAGGCTGTAGCTTGCAGCCAAGGAAGTTGGGATGGGCCGCTGCTGGAACTGATGGGATGTGCTTAGAGGGGGCCCGGGTGCTCAGGGCTCCATGGCGCCCCTGTGGTCCTGGGTCAGTGGGTTACAGTGCACCGTGGGGTGGAGGCGTGGGGTAAGCATGCCCGCAACTCACATACGCATCACAAGAGGGGTATAAAGGCCTGTCGGTGCGGCCTGCATAGGGAAGTGCTACGACTAGCAACACAGGGAAGTACAGAGTGACTAGGCGTCTTACCACCTCTCCCGGAGGGTATGAGTTGGGGCGCATGCAAGTGAGAAGCAGGGAGGGGGGTGCACACAGCACAGTGGGAGGGCACCGCGTGGCATGGCCGTGGAGGTGAGTGTGAGCACGGAAGAAAGGCCTGGGGGGGTGGCTGTGAGGTGAGCACGGAAGAAAGGCATGGGGGGGTGGCTGTGAGATGAGCACGGATGGCGACTGTGCGTGACCGAGGCCCATCGGATCGCTGTGTGGGGCTCCACTGCTGCTGGGCTGGTGCAAGGCAGCAAGGTGTTGTTGCTGCCACTGTGTTGCTGTCCACCACTGGTCCACTGAGTGTGCCAGCAGCTCGTGAGCAAGGACGCAGTGGACGCTTGCAGGGACATCATACCTGAGCCCCGGACCCTTGGGGGATGTGACCCGGTGACATGGGGGATCTGACCTGGTGACATGGGGGATGTCTCCCAGTGACATGGGGATGTGGCCCGGTGACACGGGGATGTGATCCGGTGACATGGGGATGTGACCCGGTGACATGGGGGATGTGACCCGGTGACATGGGGGATGTGGCCCGGTGACATGGGGGATGTGGCCCGGTGACATGGGGGATGTGGCCCGGTGACATGGGGGATGTGGCCCGGTGACATGGGGGATGTGGCCCGGTGTCATGGGAGATGTGGCCCAGTGACATGGGGGATGTGGCCCCGCGACATAGGGTATGTGACCCCATGACATGGGGGATGTGGCCCAGTGACATGGGGGATGTGGCCCCGCGACATAGGGTATGTGACCCCATGACATGGGGGATGTGACCCCGTGACATGGGGGATGTGGCCCCGTGACATGGGGATGTGACCCCATGACATGGGTGGTGACACGACAAGGGATGACACAAGCTGAGGGCCTGACATGGTAACGGTGGCGACGCCATGGGACACAGGCAAGGGTTTGGGGGATGGGCGGTTACTTTGCCCTATCATCATGACATGAGAGTTCGTGGCATCTATTGCATAGGGTGGTGCTGCTGCCTTGTGCCATCGAGAGCTCGCTCCCCCGGGGGGGTGTAGCACTGTGGCCACCAAGGTGCAAAAACACGGCGTTTTTAACCTTTTTTGGCCGTTTAAAACGGGATCGTATAAAACGGTCGTATAATACGATTAAAACAGTCGAAAGTTGCATTTTGCGTTTGGTGCAAAAAACGGCCGTTTTATACGACCGTTTTTTTTGTACCACCATATAATACGGTGTACAATGTTTTTGGCCGAGCTAATAACGCTTAGGGGGGGGGAGGACTAGGGGGGGAGGACTAGATGGATGACGCTTAGGAGGAGGAGGACGGGGGGGATGGTGGAGTAGGAGCAGAATGAGGCCTAGAAGGCGACGGACTAGGGGCATGGACATCACATGCCTGTTTCAAAGCCGCTAATTACCCCGTAGAATGATGCAGGCCGCCTTAGCGATCAGGCCACTTGTTTACGCGTGCTTTTTAGACATAAAAACTTTTCATTAAAAAAAGTCTAACAAAAAAACGTCTTTTTTTACCAAAACCCACCATAAAAAACGGTCGTTTAAAACCGACTGTTTTAAACGGACCGTCTTAAACGGATGCCGTTTTTTTGCACCTTGGTGGCCACGCACTAACCGCACCCGCTCGTTGCTGGCTGCCGTGACTCCTTCGTTCACTCCCCCCTATGCACGATGCACGGATTACAACATCGCTCTACTCCTTCCCACCCTCCTCACCCGCTTCCCATGCACCCCCTCTGTCCTTGCACCCCCCATGCTCCCCCCCCCCCCCCTCAGGACCTGCCAGTGGCGGCAGTGTTTGCCCCCACCGACCTGTACCTGCGCCCCCTCTACGCGCCGCCTGACCAGCGCCATGCCGTGGCGGAGCCTCCTGCAGCGCCCGCCCCTGGCGCGGCGGAGGGGGGAGTGGGGGGGCACGAGACGTGGGTGACGGTGGAGCGGCTGCAGCGGCCGCTGTGCGGGGGCGGGCGGCCGGTGTTCTTCCGCGGCGTGGCGACAGTGGTGGTGAAGCTGCTGCACATCGTGGAGCCCGACGTGGCCGTGTTCGGCAAGAAGGACTACCAGCAGTGGCGCCTCATCCACCGCATGGTCAGGCCCGCATGCCCCTGCTCCCACCATCAATGCCCGCTTGGGGGTTCAGGGGAAGGTGGATGTGAGAGGTGCACTGGGGCATCGCGGCAGGGCAAGCGAGGCATGTGGTGACGCACAGGGGGGCGTGCAGGAAGGTCAATGTTGTCATCTCGCCCTCTCTCTCCACCACATGCATGTGTGTCTGCTGCTGTCCCATGTGCCCCACGGCCCGTCCTATCTACCCACCCCCCTGACTGCGCTCTCCTGCAGGTACGCGACCTGGACATGGCGGTGCAGGTGGTGGGTGCGCCGCTGCTGCGCGAAGCAGATGGGCTGGCCATGAGCAGCCGCAACGTGCGGCTCACAGCCCAACACCGACAGCAGGTGAATGCAGGGGTGGGCAGGGCCAGCAAATGGCATGCACACACATGGGGACTAGGCTGACGACAGCAAATCACGGCTTGGGACGTGGGATTTAAGGTTGCTGGCATGTTGCTGTACCACATCATGGTAATCAGAACGCTTGAACTCTGCACCACCATGTTGCTGGGGCTCATGACGTGAACTCTGCGTCTTCACGTCACTGTGCTGTCACTTTGCAATGTGCTGCAGCACCCACGTTGAATCAAACCATGTGTGACATACTGCCCCCTTCCTCTCATCTTCCTCCCATCCTCGCCCCCTCCTTTCTGCATGCGTGTGCCTGGTGCCCGCATGCTCACTGCGCCGTGCTGTGCTGCCTGTGGGGCACCTCGCCCATGGCAGGCTCTCTCCATCAGCCGTGCGCTGCTTGCGGCCAAGGCGGCAGCGGAGGCAGCTGAGAGAGGCGCAGGGGAGGGGCAGGAGGATGTGGCAGATGCCGGGGCGATTGTGGAGCAAGTGCGGCGAGAGATTGAGGGGGCAGGGGGGCGGGTGGAGTATGTGCAGGTAGGCATGGGACGGAGATGGGCGGAATGAGCTGTTTGGAAACCTGTGCGTCTTGGGCATCTCGTCATTCTCTTCCCCACCCCTTTCATCATGCGAGCATGTGTTTGTATTGGTCATCCCTCGCCACGTTACTGATGTTCCATGTATGTCCATTTGCTGCTCAGGAGGCACCATGTGACTGCTTGCCCATGCGTCTCTGCTTGCCCATGCACAATCTCTGTGTGCGCATGTATCTCTGTGTGCCCATGCATCTCTGTGTGCCCATGCATCTCTGTGTGCCCATGCATCTCTGTGTACCCATGCATCTCTGTGTGCCCATGCATCTGTGTGCCCATGCATCTCTGTGTGCCCATGCATCTCTGTGTGCCCTTGCATCTCTGTGTGCCCATGCATCTCTGTGTGCCCATGCATCGCTGCTTGCCCATGTGTGCACTTGCATGGCATGGCATAGCATGGCATTACAGTTGGTGGAGCAGGAGAGTCTGGAGCCTCTCGCACGCGTCACTCAGCCTGCCGTGTTGGCTGTGGCTGCTCACTTCGGAGCTGTGCGACTCATAGATAATGTGGAAATACAGGTGCCTCAGTAGCAGAGGCACGCCAGACTGCTGTTATTGCTGGCATGGATAAAACAGTGTTTCTCCAAATGTCATAATAGCAGCTGACACATGGACGGGTGGATGAAGGTGTTCAGAGGATTTGCAGCAGTGTGGTAGGCCAGGTGGAGTGCAACTCCAAGTGTGACATTCCACGGGGATGGCTTGCATAGATCAACTTTTCAGGTTCTACTGTAAGGCAGCAATAGGGGTCAATGCATCATACCAATGGGCATGAACTACGACGGTACTTCCGGTGCGAGACAGCAGCACCATGATCTTGTTCCCCCTCATGCGGCCACCTACGTTAATGCTAATGGTACGTGAGCGGCGACCCTAGGCCGCAACCTTGTGGATCCACCGCGACAGGAAGCCTTGCATGCCCATCGCCGCACCGCCAGATGGAAGCCGCTTCCTCGCCCCACCCACTCTCCGCGACGCGTCCTTGCCACTAGTGTCCCTGCCCCGCGCGCCTTGCGCTGCTGTGCCCGTCGAGGACGAGGGCGACGACGCGACGGCGCTGGGCGACGCGCGCGTGGATGTGTCGTCCATGATGCCTTCGTCGCGCTCATCCTCGTCGTCGCTGTCGCCCTCTTGCTCGTCCTGCACTTCCAGCGCCCACATGTTCGCAGCGTGCTGCAGCCTGCGCGCACAAGCAACGAGACGGAAATGAGCCTACACTCACAGCAATCCCCAAGGCGTGGGCATGCGCCATCATGGCAGGAGGGCGTACCTTTCGCGCACGGCGTCGAGCTCCGAATAGTCCATGGACTGCCGTCGCCCACTCATCGACATGCGCGGCCCCTGCATGCTTAGACGGCCTCCGCCCGCGGCCAGGCCGCGTTGCGCCATCATGGACTTCCTCCGCGCTCGCTGCGCGCCGCCCGTCGCCACCCAGCGGTCGAAGTTGTCGCTGGGGGACACCGATTCAACGCGCGCCGGCTTCGCTGACGCGTCGGCCGGCAGATCGGCTTGGAGCGCTCGAAGTCGGGGGAGCTGCGTGCTGGCGAGCGGCAGGCGCGCGGCACCCGATGGTAACAGCCCGGCCATCGTGGACTGAGCGCACCAGTCGCCTGAGGCAGCTTGCGCATCGTCAGCCCTTGCCGAATCAGCGGTGCAAAGCGGCACGAGGTCCCTCGCAATCTCGCAGCGGAGCTTGTCCCGACCAATCGCGCCACCGGCCTCCACGAGGAGGTCGACGGCCATGTTGGCCGCGGCGAGCGCTGGCAGGGCCAGCGAGAATCGGCCAGGAAGTGCGTCGGCGCGGCCAGGTGCTCTAGGCAGGGCGGTGGAGAGGCTGGTACGGCAATTGCCGGCAGAGCGAAGGTTGGCCGAGACTCGAACTTTGGTGGTGGCGAGGTTGAGGCGAGGGTCACGGCCATATGCGGTGGACGCAAGATAAGAGAGAAGCCAGTCCTCATCCTCTGAACCCAAACCGGCCGCAGGGCTGCTAACTCGGCATGCTACGCGACCGAGCTGGGACGCCATCACCCCTGGCGGACAGCTGGTGACGCAGTTGATAAACAACTGCGCGACTGAGGGCACAAGAACTGCTCAGTATCAATCAATCTGGACTGTGATTGTTGAGCGTTTGTGAGACTTATTTTAGCTGGCAAAGAAGCACAAGCTCAAACGAGGTGCGGGTGATGGGATTCGCTGGTTGCTGGTGGGACAGTGGGGGATGTGATGACGCATTTTGGAGGGATGTTGTGTGGGATTCTGCTCGCGCGACTAGTGAAGGGTCCGGGACTCTGGCTAACAGGATAATCACCCTCAAATGTCGTGAAATAAAGAGTTGTTTTCGACCTGTTTCCGTTTTTCGGCGTAGTAAAACTTTCCTGATTCTGTCCGCCTAACGGAAATATTTTCTTGTGATTCCATGATTTACAGGTTATTTCACTCCGTGCGAAGTGCACTTGTAGAAGGAGATCTGTTCGTGGTGGTGTATCCCCTCCTCCCGCCGTTCCCCTACCTCCACTAAGCAGAGGAAGACGTTAGTTAGCGGGAAATTTTGCTACACTTCCAACTGCCTGAGGCATAGAATGTGCGAGGAACAGTCGCTGGGGGTTCGAAGGCCTTTCCTTAGCCCTGGCGAAGCCCATTTGTCTCTAGTATCAAACCAAGAGTAGCACTTGGACGAGTCCGTAGGTTAACGGGTAGTGTTTCGACGATTCCGTCCACTAGCGGGTAATTTTGGGCCGATTCCGTGACCTAACGGAATACCCCTGGCCTTAGCAACAGCCCTGGAAGGGTCAGGGAGAAGGTGCGGAGGAGATCGCATGCCTGAAAGTGGACCAATCGCGGAACGGATCCCCACACTTGACATTGGACGAATGGATACGCTTGCCCTCACCACTCAGCATTGCTGTCGACCACCAGCTCCTCAACCTGATGCTGTGGCAATCAATTCGACATCGCTCATTGATTGTGCGACTGTTGTGGAGCAGGTACCGTACCCGTAACCGGGCCAAACAAGACCAGTCAGTACAATACGGAAAGTGAAGTCGCAATCCCAGAGTACCCCCAAATGTTTTCGTGTACGGTGTCATCCAAATGCCTGACTAAAATTATATGTTTGTATACAAATGTCGGCATAATTATTATAAATTACGCCTGCGTTTCAACAAGACTTAGGAAAACTCCACTAGATCTGGCATTTATCCAAATGCAAACTCCACTAGATTTCTAGGCCGGGTAATAAAAACATTTGAAAGTTACCTTGGAGCGATGTATGTCGATGTGGTGTGGAGTGGAAGGGTTTGGCCTTGCTGCTTGCAATCGAATCGGTGTCGTGTCGATGTATTCTGTCAACTGTTGGGGCAGCTCTACGTGGCTCTGTTGATATTTTTCTAGAATCCAGCCAATCCCCGCTCACACTATGCAGCGATGCTGTCGTGCGTGGTGTCGCCTCGATCCACTCATTTCCCTTGCTCTCGGAGCATGTTATCCGGGACAACTTCGCCTATGCTCAAATTATGCCATAGCCCGTTTGCACTTGTACTCAAGCCAATCAAATCGTTTCTGGGCAGCCCGAAAATATAAACCCAAGAGGGAACCTGGTTGGTATTCGAGAGGCATCGAACCCAAACTCGTTTCGGACAGCATAAAGAAACCCTGTGATTGGCTTGAGTAAAGATGCACACAACGCCTGGGCATAATTTGTGTATGTGGTAATTCCCGTATGTTATCCGAAGCGATCAAGCTACTGTTCGACTAGTGCAACAACAACAAGCGCAACTATTGGGAGAATTACTGCCGCGGACTATCCACACAACTTTTCATACTTTTGTGGACAAGCCCTACTTTCATGGACACCACATCGAAGTTTTGCTTCTCCTTTGGACTCCGTCAATACTTTCGTGGACTCCTGGCTTACTTCCATGGACACACGCATATTCGCAGTTAAAAAGGAGTATACACCAATGTACAAGTGATTACGGGCACAAAAATCGAAATACTCCAGACTATCTGTCCGTCGCAAGTAATCGCGAGCTACACTATCGGAAACCAGTTCGCAAACAGAATCTCGGAGCTTTTCTGGGAAGAGTTTGCAGCCGCACTCAAATATGCAGTAGAATTTCAAAAACATAGTGTATTAGGGTCCGCAGATAGAAACACTTATTCTTCAAATCAGAGCTACTCAACAAAAACATAATATGCACGTGCTTGACGAGCCAGCATCAATCAGCAGTTGTTTTCTACTTCATAATGTATTGTTTCATTATAAAGAATTCTGTGAACAAACAAATAGCACATGAGAAAGATATTTTTCCTAATCACTTGTTTTATTTGCATTATTACGTTTCTAGTTCAAAACAAATCTATTCCCAAAATTGTGAATCCAAAATACTTGTCATTTTCATGCCTATTATTATTTTATCATGCACAAAACTTTTCATAATAATAGAATCAAGGCCTGAAACCTTCCATTTATACAGCCATATTTACCAAACCTTATTAGTATTCAGATATCTCACATCTTTATTAAAAATGCAAGCCAAATATTGGTTGAAATATTTGGAAATGCCATAATTTATGGTATTCCCGATTCTTGGTGGGCAGAAATTCCAAAGCGTTATCTTGGGACAACTGTGATTTTTTCTGAGCTCTATTAATCTTGTAACCATAATATCTATCTTTATTCTACAACGTGAATCTTTTGTAGTGAGATTTCGCCTACTGAAACTGCTACAATTGTCGTTCAACTAAAACCGCTTCGTCACAGTCGTTCAAATGAATTTTGAGGATCGCTTCAGAGTTTCTTAAAACACGCAAAGCAGCTAGCGGACTTGGTGGTTTGCAATTACTGTAGCTTGCGACTATTTGCGAAAGACTTGATTACGTCATAATTTTGTTTTTTCTTCGTGTCAGCATCTGTACAGTTCTGTCATCTTGTTTTGTTTCAAATTCGCGTGTGTCAATGGAGCTAAGCCTGGAGTCCACGAAAGTATTGACGGAGTCCACGGGAGAAGCGAAACTTCGATGTGGTGTCCATGAAAGTAGGGCTTGTCCACGAAAGTATGAAAACCTGGTTACTTGATGTACTTTGGAAGTATATAAGCGCCTTGTATCCGTTGATAATGCAACTTTTCCTCGACACATTCGATCATGTGACACTTGGTAATCAGAGCCTTTCTCACTCATCCGCGCTCAGCTAAGCAGAAGCAGCGGGAAAACCTGCCTCGAAAAACCGCCGGGAGTGACTAATTCGGCGCCGATTCTGGTAACCACCAGCTCCGCTTTTTTTAATTATCCCCTCCGTGCGGGTTTTGAACATGATGGCGAACTTCGACAACGCCGAGGTTACCCAGCAGCTCTTCACGAGCATCTCCGCCCTTCAGGAGGAGATGCGAGCCGATCGCGAAGCTTGGTGAAACGAGTTCGAGCAAGTAACTCGACTCGCCAGCACGCACCACGAAACGACAACGACGACGACGCAACAGTCGCAGCAGTTTCTCGAGGCTCCGAAACCGTGCCCACCTGAGCCGTTCAATCCGAGCGATCGAAATTCCGACGTCCGCAGATGGATCGCCGGCATGGAGATCTACTTCGTCGACAATGGAGCTCGCCAGTCTGGGACGGTCAACGCGTACGACTGGCGGCGACATTGATGCAAGGACCGGCACTCAAGTGGATCGGCGATAACAGTACCTTCATCCATATGGAAGCCACGTGGCAACAGTTCCGCACCGACCTGCTAAAACGCCACGAGCCAATAAATTTGGGTTTCCTTGCCTGGGAAAATGTTCATCGACATCGACAGTATAGGAGTGTAGTGCAGTACACGCAACAGATGGAGGAATTTTATAACCGCATTCCTGATCTGACCGAAGGGGAAAAAGTACAGTCGTATCTACGCGAGCTGAAGACCGAAGTCAAACGACAGGTAGCAGCGACAAATTACGCAAGCTACAGTGACGTCGTTTCGGCAGCAGAGCGGTTTGACATGGTCAACGCCGGAACACGACGGGCGCATGTCGGAAGTACGCGACAGGGCAACCGCTCGGCTCACCCCACGTTTGCCGACCCGAGTGAAATCGACAGGTTCGACGGGCGGTCACGTCCGAAAAACACCAACTACACGAGTGATTTTTGCGGGGTGCCAGGCCATCGAATCTTCGACTGCAACAAAATGAAAGCCACACGAGCAGAGTACCGGGCACGCAACAGTAGCGGAAATTCTTCGGTCAATCAGAAGAAAAAAAAAACGGAATTCGTCAGTGATTGCGGATCTAGCTGGCGAAAAGGAAAGGATCTGAAAGCGGCCGCGGGATTCCGGGAAAATCGACTTCAACGAAGCTAATTCGACGCGAGCTTAAAGAAATGATGGGGAAAAATCTCCACCCCACGACCGGTCTTCGCCAGAGAAAATGGCCGAGAAAATAATTTGACTCCGCGAAAAAGGACTCTGCCGAGACGGGGAATCTCCAAGACCCAAGAAATTATAAGGATCTTGTAAAGATGCTTCAATTAAAAAAAAATATTCTCGAGGGGCAAGAGCCTTGGAGAAATTTCGGAAGGGACTCTGAAGAAGTAGAAACTTGTGAAGATCATACTGGTACCGGAAAACTTCGGGATAAAATTAAGGAGTGTGGAAAGAATCCGACCTTTCCACGGAGTCAACGTCCTCTCCCGACACCAGCCCACAACGACTACACGTTGCCCAGGGAAGACGTCGGTGGAGCTGAAGCAGCTCAAGAGGAAGCTGGGGGTCTAATAGAAGCTGCAAAAAATCCAGAACTCCTCCTTCGGCCTTCAGATGCATCCAGTTCAGCAAATTCGGCATCAACGACACACTCAGTCGTCAAGAAAGCTCAGAGTCCGGAGGGAGAAAATTTCTCCTAGCAGCCTCGGCCAGCTGCTAACCCACGAGCAAAAAGGAAGAAGGTGTGTACGGAATATTGGGATGTACCATATGATCATATTAACGGAACTATCTTTGGGTACTCCGAGCAACGCCCGGCCCTCATGCTCGAGGTCATCTGCAAAGGACGACGCCTCCAAGCACTCATGGACAGCAGAGAATCGCACACCGTCTGCGACAACACAGTAATCGACCGACTTTGGGAAGAGTAC